AGCAAAACACCTGGAATTTAATACCACACAATAACTCCTCTGGGGTTGAGTGTGGGATTTTTTCATGAAAATTGATTACTCTACAATATTGTTTTATTAACCCGGTACAAAGTGATCCTAAATAATATGGGAATTATAGTGAAACTGCATAATGTTGTATTAAGGAGATCGCAGTGTCTCAAGCACTTGGAAAAGGGGGAAGCTCAGTCCACAGCCCTGCCTTCTACACAATTCACTTCCCACTTTTCGTTTTTCTTATTTTATAGTTTTATATTAGATTTTCTTTATTTCCAAGTCAAATTATCGGAGTGAAATGATATTTCCATAGCTTATATGGTTTGTTATGTAAATGAACACTGCGGCAGCCAGTGTTCAGCTGTGAATTATGAATATTTTGCCACAAAATTTAAACAGAGGTAGTACGTATTGCAAATTTGTATTTCATGAATTATCGCACTTCCACTGTACAGTATTGCCATTTATAGAGGTGTTCATGTACATGTCCCTCACCAGCGACTGATTGCAGGCCACGCTTTGTTGATCTATTTATTTTCTTAATATTATTTAATATAAGTACTGTATATAAGATTTACTGGAGTAGATCTACAGTATGTATAATATTTTTGTGTAATGACTGTATTGAATTTTTGAAGGTAACTGGTTTTCAGATTCCTGATACTCAATTGTAGCACAGTATGACCTGATGTATTCTGGGCATCAAGACCCAAACATTCTGTAGGAGATACAGTACACTCAAATGTTCATATTACTTTATATCCATACACTATAGTTATGGAAGTGATATTGTAATGTTACATTTTTTGTCTATGATATATGTTTATTTTTGTAATAGTGGTAATCTGTGTGATAATTAACACCTACAAATTAAGAAAGTTTGATGCAGTATTTGTTCTTAACATGTTTAAAGTTGAGTGGAAGATTGGAAAAATTATGGAGGAATCGGTCATCTGAGTACAACTGGAATTACCAGCTGTGGTGATGAAAAATTTAGAAAAATAAAAGTGCGGGTTAAGTGAGGACCATTTAGAATTTAAGGAAAGGGATGTGTGATTTGTTTCCATCGCCTATCAGCTTACTAGCTGTTCAGGTGGTTGGTCAATACTTATGACATTCACCATCCAGTGTTAGTACAGGAGGCAACCGGAGTACTCAGAGATAACCTGCGGTATTTAGTCGGGTCATACATCTAACCCAGACTAGGGATTGAACCCGAGACAGGGTCGTGAGAGGTATGTACTTACCTCTGTAAGATACCACTAACACCCTAACTATTGACTGTAAACTCTGCTGAAGAATATATACTATGTACTGTATAGCAAAAAATATGAAACTGTATCATTTATGAATCTTGAAAAGATATATGGTAAGGTGGACTTAGGTGATGATTATTTCCAGACTGGGAGGAAAGAAATGTAGTGCAGTGAACACATTTTACAGGAATAGGCATGTAAAGATGACTAAGTGGGGGGTGAAATAGGTGTATGATTTCTATATTGTTCAGTACTATATGAATGGGGGAGGGGGGTTAAAGGAGATAAGGGTTACTTTAGCCAAAACAAGAGGTAAACTAGAACTGGGTACACAGTCGGATGTGGCCAGATATAACTTGCAGGTGATGTTGTACAGTTTACATAAATTTACCCAAAATTGCAAAAGATAATGAAAACAACTGGCAATATGAGATCTCAGAAAAGTACTGTACTGTATAGGAAAATGTAAAGAATAATTAAATGATGATCTTGTAGTTGACAACTTACACAGTGGAAGGGGAAGATGGAGCAGTAGATATAAGAAAGAATGGTGGAAGAGATCAGGAGTGTAGTGAAGGTATACAAAAATATAGGCACTGACAAGGTAGCCTGATATGACATACTGTATTGGGGAGAAGATAGTAATTTATAACTCAAAGGCTAGGAAGTGTCTTCTTTTAATAACTACCTCATTAAGGTTCTACAGAACACTGTGTTTAGTAACAGCTAATACTTACATCTTTCCCACACTTAAAGCTCTTGCTGTTTGTTGGTAAATATACATTCTATAAATGATGTAACAACTAGTGTGTGATAGGTGCCATTTCTGCCTAATCTCACCTAGTACTTATACCTACTCTGAAACGTGTTAACATCAAAAGGATAATTTATGTAACTAAGGTAATTAACACTACTATTGAGAATGCTGGTACAGTGGAATCCAGTATTGGTTTATAATAATAAGTACAATGTCCCCCATACAGAGACTTCTATTTAACAGACTACAGTATATGGAGAGGAGTGTCCATTATACTGAGGACCTGTTAGATATGAAACCTCCATCTAACAAACTACATAGAGAAGATAGTCGGTTAGATATTAAACCCCCCATCTAATAGAGAGAGAAGTCCATTATATGGAGGTTTCACTGTATGAGGCCCATTGTCATACCCAGCCTTGAGTGCATGTTGTCAAAGATACAAAATGTAGGTGATAATATAAAATACAATTCTGGTAAAATTATGTCACCTTCATTGCCAAATAATGGAATGTAATAGATCAAGGGTGGATCCAGGGGGAGGTCCAGATCTCCCTTTTCATCAGAAAATTCCAATACTTTTTCTTTAATGCAGAATTGTACTTGGGCATTTTTATATGGTAAAAAGTAATTACCATAGACCTCAGAATATCTCCTAATATCAAGTGCACATGGCTTCAAAATGCCGATGATGTTGCTCGCCATGTTTCCCCATCCAAAAACTTCTTGGATTCCTCCTTTTGATATTCCCAGATCCACCCCTGTAGATACTTAATAAATTTACTTAATTGCAACTTACTTTAGATAAAATGAAATGAATTTATACATGAGTACTGTACTGTACAAGTATTGTAAATGTGAACCATATTTAACATCAAAGTAATATACCTGTACTATGTAAGTTATCTTAGGTCACTCTTGATTGTAAATTCATTGAACTTCTTTTGTTTACAATATTTCAAGTTACCAAATGTTATAAACCATATCTTATAGTTTGTATTGTACATATTTATTTTATAACTACTGTACTTGTTCGCCTAAATCTTACTTTAAAAGTATTCCCACTCAGTTTACTTCAGTGCTTACCCAATTAACCCTACATGGCCAGGACAGAGAGTTCAGTATGTGTTGTATATTTTTTGATACTGTACTCACTGGATGGTCCACAGTAAGAACTGTAATAATGATAATGAACCAACTGCACAGTTAGCATTCCACTTACTGCATAATGACAACAAATACAGTACAGTACTGTAAACATAAAACTATTATAGTGTTTAATAATTATACAGTACAGTACTGCAATATTAATAATAATGCCATTTGTAGGACAGGAATGAAATCATAAAACATTGAATGTTTTTGCATTACAGATTTTCAAAAGTTCAAACAGGAAAAATGTCAGTTGACTGAAGTTTTCACCTACAGTACACTACATGTAGAACAGATAAGTGTACTGTACTCTGCTGTACATGATGAAATGTAATAAGTGTATGTACTGTACTCTGCTGTACATGATGAAATGTATGCTTTAATGTATATATTTTTGTTGAGCTGTAATTTTGCAATAAAGCACAAAAATTATCTGATCCATGAACTTGTGTGATGTTACTTTTTTGCACACACACACACACACACCGCCAGTTGTTCTTCACAGTACCTATTAGTAGCCAGTACTGATCTTAGAACTAGTTATCTTTTACTACTGCAGCCATCTCCCTCAAAGTGAGTACAGGTGCTCATCTACTTAAGAACGTTCAACTTACAAACTTTCAGAGATGCAAACATCATCACTGAGGGGGGTTACCTGCCAGAACAGGTGTTTAATGTGGATGAGACTGGATTATTTGGAAGAAAATTCCAGTTAGAACAAACATACCTAAGAGGAGAAGAGTGAGCCAGGTTTTAAGGCTGTATTAAAGGGTATAGCTGTACTAAATATTCATAATCTTTTCATTTTTTACAATGTTTGGTATCTACAGGAGTAAAGTTTGACTTACAAACAAGCCTTAGGAACGTAACTCGATCGTAAGTAGGGGAGTACCTGTACTGCATCTTTAATTATTGTATCCTCTATATTACCTCATCAGTTTTCATATAACCAGTAATACCATTCCAGGTTGAGGATCCTTTATCTGAAAACCTTAGGGCCAAGTGCATTTTGGTTTTCAGATGCCTAGGCTGGGTATCCACACTAATTACTGGGATGATGAAGGGTATCTACATCGATTCTTGGAAAAAATGGCACAACTGTTAAATTGCAGTAAAATGGTACAAAATGTCATTAGGTTAAGGGGGTGGATCATGGTGAGTTAGGTCAGGTCAAAGCTTATATGTTTTTATGTCACTAGTGGACCATCAGATGAAGATTAGATATTTATTAGGTTAGGTTAGGTTAGGTTGACCTACTGACATTTTACTACCAACTTGATAATTGTGCAAGATGGAGGGTGTCCACACTACCCACTAGGAGGATGAAGGGTGTCCACACTACCCACTAGGAGGATGAAGGGTGTCCACACTACCCACTAGGAGGATGAAGGGTGTCCACACTACCCACTAGGAGGATGAAGGGTGTCCACACTACCCACTAGGAGGATGGAGGGTGTCACACTCACCCACTACCCACTAGGAGGATGGAGGGTGTCACACTACCCACTAGGAGGATGAAGGGTGTCCACACTGCCCACTGAAGGGTGTCACTAGAGGATGAAGGGTGTCCACACTGCCCCACTAGGAGGATGGAGGTGTCACACACCCCACTGATGAAGGGTGTCCACACTACCCACTAGGAGGACTGGAGGGTGTCCACACTACCCACTAAGAGGATGGAGGTGTCCACACTACCACTAGGAGGATGGAGGTGTCACACTGCCCACTAGAGGATGGAGGGTGTCCACACCCACTAGGAGATGGAGGGTGTCACACCCACTAAGAGAGTGATGAGGGTGTCCACACACACCCACTAGGGCGGATGGAGGGTATCCACACTACCCACTAGGAGGATGGAGGGTGTCCACACTACCCACTAGGAGGATGAAGGTGTCCACACCCACTAGGAGGATGAAGGGTGTCCACACTGCCCACTAGGAGGATGAAGGGTGTCCACACTGCCCACTAGGAGGATGGAGGGTGTCCACACTACCCACTAAGAGGATGAAGGGTGTCCACACTACCCACTAGGAGGATGGAGGGTGTCCACACTACCTGCTCGGAGGATGGAGGGTGTCCGCACTACCCGCTCGGAGGGTGTCCACACTACCCACTAGGAGGATGAAGGGTGTCCACACTACCCACTAGGAGGATGGTGTCCACACTACCCACTAGGAGGATGGAGGGTGTCCACACTACCCGCTCGGAGGATGGAGGGTGTCCACACTACCCACTAGGAGGATGGTGTCCACACTACCCAGTAGGAGGATGGAGGGTGTCCACACTACCCACTAGGAGGATGGAGAGTAGCCACACTATCCAATGGGAAGAATAAGGGTTTCCAAGTTACTTACTTCTATGGTTGGCTATAAAATACCATTTCAAGATCAAGTTTCTCATGTTATGTGCACCATTTTCCACACACACAAACACACATGCTTGCCCATACATACACATATACCAGTGGCTAGCCAGGTAACCAATGACACCACTTCATTCACTACATGACCAGCTGACTTCCTCTCAAAATGAAGCAGTATCAACCCGAGACAAAACAGCACACCCGCACAAGATGAGTCAGGGTAAATAAGGTCGGAGACTCATTTCTGTGACTCGGTTTCACCACAGGGATTGAACTTTTGCTCATGTTCATGACTACAATACATTATATTGTATAGGCAGGCCTCGGATTTATCGCAACGGGAATAGAATTTCAGAATGCCAGTCCATTTATACCAGGTGCTTATATGATTATTTTTTTTACTAATGCTTGTACAAGTATTTATTTTATTTGTAGGCCATAAATCCCCCCACTTCAAAATTTTCTTCTGTTTCAGAATGGTCAATTCAGGGAAAATATCGGAATCTGTTCAGTATTAGTAAAAAGTTCTGAATTGGCAATATTTTGGATCAGTAAATTGAATTGGGCACAGCCCTTGTGGGTGGGTGTCACTAAACCAAGCACCGAAGAACTGTGATATATGTACTGTACAGTAGGGTCGGGATATATCACAAGATAGGGTCCAAAGATGTTCGCAATATACTAAATCGCGATGTAATCAATGGGAAAAATAGGGTTAGGTTCTGGAGGGCAAAAAAAGTGACTAAACTTGATTTAACGAGTTCATTTTCTTACTAACTAAAGCACCAATAAACACTAAACTCGGAAACAACAGGCTATTTCAATATCAATATCTAGGAACGCCAGACTCGGCAGCTGACGTACCATCCTGGGATCACCAGACTTGGCAGTAGATGCCACACTGCCACTCTCACTTAACGAACACCAAAAGTATTAGCTACAGTATTATATCTTTTCCTTTAAGCTTTCCATTTTCTTCACTTCACTTTTCACACCACTATCAACCCATTTACACTCGCCTTAGAAGTCGTAATCTGAAGCAGTTGGCTGCTTTCTCGTCACTCACTCAGAAAGACCGAGCGTGAATGCGCGAGTGAGCAGCCACGGTGGTGCCTCAGGTTAGCAAATAATGCATTAGTTTGCCATGGCGGTACATTTGAAATATTTACCTCATGAAATAACAAATTACTGCTATACTGTATATAGGAAAATGTCGATAATTTTGGGAGCCACGATATAAAAAATCTTTATAAAAAGTGGCAATATATCCCGACCATGCTGTATATATACCTTACTCCCCACAACACTCAAATATAGATATTAAGGCATAACACATTAGGTAACAAAGAATCAATATGAAAGAAGCATATTCTTCTTTTTTTATTTTCTACCAATATCAATAGAAGTGAATTTACATTTCAAATATCTTAGGATATTAGTATACCTGTACATAGGTTACATTTCATACACAAACTGAAAAAATTAAATTAAGATACAGAAATGTCAGTTTCACTTGAGTGCACAAAATATATTTCTCTTGTGTATAACTGATATACAAAGGTTCTAGTATACAGTACAGTAAACCCTCAAGTTTGGCGGCTTTCTGTTTGGCGAATTCGAAGTTGGTGGTCAAAGTACCCCGCCCCCCATTTTGCCGACCAAACCCTCACCTTTGGTGAAAGTTTAAATTTAAATGCAATCGCAACTAATAATTGTAGAATAATAAGTGCAAGATAAATCTCGCTTAATACTACCGGTGGGTGAGTAAATGGCAAAGCGCCAGTCAGCTGTTGAGGTAGCCATTTTGACCTCGTCAATCCACATTCCAGCCATTTGTTTGAGTGACTTTGGCCTTTGTGTACATTTTTTTTTCACTCTCGCTTGACAAGGTGTTCTCATGCAGATTAATGGCCTCAAAAGTACCTGGGGTATTGGAGGGGATGATAGTGGTGGTGTAAGACCGTCTGAGCGCCCAGACAGTTCAAATGATGGGGTAAAAACAAAGAAGAAAAATTCTCGTGAGTATTGAGTTGGGAAGAAAGTGAAAAAGTACTCATTTGAGGATAAGAGAAAGACAGGGGATATGACTGAGCTTAACAAAAGACTTTTATTTTGAAGGCTTTGATCTAGTGGTGGCAGTGGTGGAGGAGGGGGGTGACGGATGTTAGCCTTCCTTCCCCAGCCTCAGATACCAGCTTAGTGTACATTAAGCTCCTCAACTTATAATTTTAAGGTTAGTTTTCAATGTTTATGTTGATTAACTAATTATTCATTCTCTTTCAGCAATTAAATATATGTTATATGTGGGTAAAATAAGAAAAAATTGAGACTTTGGGTGGCCCCTCAGTACCAATTAGGCTTTTACCCATTGGATTAAGCCCTCTGGTTTGGCGATGGTTTTTCGGCACCAATTAGTCGCCAAACTGGAGGGTTTACTGTAGATGATTTCATGACCTTAAATTCCTACACCTTGTACTTTGCTATAATGCCTCTTTTTTCCACATATTATCATTGACATGAGTACCAGTAATTACTTTTCAAATACAAAATTAGAATAAACCATTTTCTTTCATTTTTTTTGTTTTTTTATCTATCTGCTGCCCACATCAACAAACAATTAGTTATCAGATCTACAAAATACTGTAATATGTATCTAACTTTCTAACTGCAAAGTACTGAAATATTCATAGAGCATTTTACATGAGCTTCAGCAGGAGATATGACAGCACCAGGAGGGGCAGGAAGATGGAGGGCAGGGAGGAGGAGTTACAAAGGAAGGAGTTACAGAAGCACACATGTTCTGAAACAAGACCTTCAAAGTTTCCATTTTGACAGATGGCGGGGTAAACCTTGTCAGCACAGCCTTTCTGTCCATCACCAATTCCAACTGAAAAAAAAAATTATTAAAATTCCAGTAATCAATATTTTTTCTTGTACTGTACTGTAATTAATTTCTTTCTCTTATACAGTACAGTGATCCCTCAGTTAACGAACGCCTCGGTTAATGAAATTTCGGTTAACGAATTACCTTCCATAAGATTTTTCACTTCGGTTAATGAAAAAATTTCGATTAACGAATTCCTTACAAATTTTTCCCAACATGTTTTCGCCTGCTTTTGCCTGCTCACCAGCTGGAGTATTAGTCCGCCAATACAGTAATCGATTTTAGGGCTTAAATTCATTACCATTTGAGTAAATATCAAGAAGGTTGTACTATTCAATAATTTTCCAAGTCTTATATTAAAATTTTTAGTCATTTTAAGAATTATTTAACATAATTGAAGTACAGGGAACTAGTTTTTAGCGCGCCAAACAGCCACTTGTCTCACCCAAAATGGAGTCAGTTTGTGTCTCTGCTCAGGGGAGGAAGCTTCTTGCTTGAGACTCTCTTGAACATAAACTATTTTTACATTTTTACAGTACAATTTATGGGTGAAATGGCAGCATGAAGCATGGGGTGACTTCTCTTCCACCCCAATGCCTTCTCTTCTCCCTTCTCTTCCACCATTCTAATTCCTATCATCATCAACCAGGAGCCTTCTACATGCACACCTCAAAGTAAGTGTACTTTACTTCATTTATTTTTAGTTTGTATGTAATTTTCGGTGAGCTGGAACCAATTACCCAAAATCCCATTGAAACAATGGTTTCGGTTAACAAAATTTTCGGTTCACTAATGACCTTCTGGAACGAATTGTGTTCGTTAACCGAGGGACCACTGTACATTAATGTTTTTACCATAAAAAGAAAAAAAGTCAACCCACATATCACAACTAATTCTGCAACCTCTGTAATGGTACACCCATGATGTATGTACTGAGAGAGTTGAAACCTATCTCGATTAATCAACACACATTGCTTGTGGTCATGAAGAAAGTCTCTGATCCACGCCAGAACGTCCCCGAATTCCTGTATACAAGTAAAGTAGTTTCATTTTTTGTCTTTCTTGAGGTATGCTACCAAATGCCTCGACAAAGTCAATGTATAATTGTCATGCCCTAATATGTGTCCACACTTCCAACATCCTTAAGTAATTACAATTCAAGCAGGGGCATCCAGGCATAAAACAGTGTTGGCATTCCTTTATGATGTTAATCCATTGTAAGCGTCTCATTAAGACATTATATAAAGTATAATGTTCAACAGTATTTTACTCACTGGTCTGCAACTCTTTGTGCAGTGGTAATCCCCTTGTTTAAATATAAGACTCGCATACAGTACAGTACTGTATTACGTTATCCATTCATTGGGGATTTTTCATTCATCTTCTGTAGAGAAAGATTTTAAGGAGTTGTGCAAGCTTGTTAAACAACTCTCTTTAAAAATCTGACTTACACCCCATCAGGGCTTAGCATAACAACATGCAAAATACATCACAGCAAATAAATTATCCATTTATCCAGATGAATGGCTTTTAGCATCTAGTTGAATGCTGTACTGGATAGTTACAATGGGAGCTAGATGAGCCAGAGATCTGATAGTTATCAGTAATCAGGTTTATCCCTTTTAGAAACATATATTGTACTCTCTATTTAACAGAATCGGATGTAACGAACTCGATTTAGCGGAAGGCATATTTTCCGTTATTTTTCGTTCGATTAAGTGAAATAATTCGCTAAATCGAGATTAATTCTGTTAATACGCTCACACCTATGGAGACACCTCAGACACATAATATGTACATATAACCATTAGAAACATTATTCATGGCATCCCGCAGGCCAAATGTGGCCCTTGGTGTGGCCAGCTGGATGACTAAAATTTATCATCCCGTGAAATTATGATAGACAGATATAATCATGTTTATTTAGTAAAATTAATTATAAATACTTAAGATCAGACAAACCCAAATGAGGTATTCCTGGTAAGGTAATGTGTGAAGCTGTAAACTTCAATCCTTAAACTATGGGGGTTCGATGCTTGTTTTAATTTTTCTATTAGTATTTCCAAACTTTTTTCCAGTTGATAGCCGCACTCTTTTCACTTTCTCCCCCAAACCACTTCCTTTCCGAGATTTCCGGCATGATGGCTAAGCACAGTAGTAAGTTGACCGAGAGGTAGCAGTGAACAACACGCCCAGTGGCGGCAGGACCCAGACTGATCAGATGTATACAAACCGCACGTGCCAAGCAGTGCGTTTGGTGCGGAATTTAATGGATTCACGCTCAATTTAGTGAACTAGTTCGCTAAATTGAACAAAAATAACGGAATTTTTTATTTGATGGAAAGGAGTGACTCGAATTAGTTCGTTAAATGGAGAAAATACTATTTGAACTTCAACTGACCAAAGCAGCTTCACCCAAACCTTTTAAAGTCTCCAAATAAAACTTTTATACCTCTTTCCATTCTAAGGGAGGTGTAGGCGCCTACTGCCACACACTTACACTTGTAGCTCAACTCACGGATCTTGAATCTTCTCTTTATGATGTCATCTGGCTCAAAATATCTCTTCCAACTATGACTATTTTTCTTTGTTTCTGGAGATGTTCGGGGTACTTGGTTCTAACTACAGGGGCGAACATAAACACCTGTAGAGTTCTGAAGGTTCTTATTAACGGAAATATACAGGAGGGCGCTTACAAGCGCAGGTAGTCCTTACACTCCTATTGGGTCAACTGACCTCACTCTGACCTCTCGGGCGACATGTGGTAAGTGGTATACTAGCAGCTTCCAGATGTCGCCAGGCACATTTATCTAAGCGTGTGGTGACATGAAACAGGGGCATTGCCACACGCTACTGACTAGAGAAATAATGTGTATATATAGAGTACATACATGGTATACATACAACATACATACAGTTTCCTATACTGTTCTTCCAACTCTACCAACTATTTGGAACTCTTTGACTTTCTCACTTCTTGCCATGAGTCGTTGCTATCCACACACCCCAACACCGAGATCCTCTACCGAGGGGATTTCAATGTACAGGGCGTCCTCGCTTAACGGCAGGGTTACGTTCCTGAAAACGCGACATTAGAGGAAACAACGTTAAGCGGGTCAATTTTCCCCCTTAAGAAATAGATAAATTACGGGAGTTACGTTCCCCACCCTCCCTTTGTCCCTTGAAAAAAGTTACATACGGTATACAGAAAATCATTGCCATTTCTATAGAAAATAGTATATACAGTAGAACTACAGTACTAAGTTTGTATTGGTACTCACTGATGGGCAGAGGTGATAGAGTGAGTGAGTGGTGGGTAGTGGAGCGGAGGAGGCGAATGGCGGGAGGGGAGGAGGAGGATGGTGGGAGCGGATCTGGCCTTGTGCTGAATAACCATAAGGCTCACAGGGTCATTGCGTTGATTCTGGTCCTCCATCCAAATAGCCAGCATCTTTTCCACCTTCTCTATCACAGTGCTTCTAGTATGGGTCGTCTTAGTAGCACTCAGAGAAGTACCACTTCCAACACTAACCTTAATCCTGTCAGTGTTGGTCCTGATAGTACGCACCGTTGTGGGGGTTAGACCAAGCACAGCGGCTATGTCCACAGCACGTTCCCCTTTTTCAAATCGAGTTAATACATCCATTTTTGTAGCAAGGATAATGGTCTTACGTTGCCCCTTCGCCCATCAGTAGCACTTGATGGGCACTTGGAAGCCATTTTGAATGGCTATAGTACAGTTTTAGAACAAAAGCACTTAAGCACACACGAATGACGTGAAGTGGTAACAGAGACTGGCTTGGCGTCGCTTGGGGATGCCGTGACGTTCCGCGAGTGACGGGAGGGCAGCGCGCCGAGCTGAGAGCGTGACCAGACAAGAACAGGTGATGCACCGTAGAACGTAGTCAGTGATGACACAAAACGACGTAGTATCGGATCACCGAGACATAAAACTAATTTTTGGTCTCTAAGTTCAATGTTGATGTACCAAAACAACGTTAAGGACGATGTTAAGCGACGACTTACAGTACATCACAGAGAATGGCTTGGCTCTGCAAGGGATGACCCAGGTGGAGCCGAGGCACTCTCTTTTTCCCTACTTAATGATCTGGAACAAATAATTAAACACCCTACATGTGTTCCTCATCAACATGATCAACTTACTAACATTCTTGATCTTTGTTTTACCTCTAACCCCTCACACTATTAACTCAATTTCTGCCCCCTTAGGGTCTTCTGATCACAATCTTATTTCTATTAACCCAAATTGGGCATGACAACCTCCCACATCCCCCTCTATGGCATTAGCGGAGGGCAAACTTGCAATCCTTGTGAGAATTCTTCTCTGACTTCCCTTGGGATGAATGTTGCTTTTCCACTCAGGATGCCTCCGTATGTCCTGACAGCATTGCTGGGGTTATACAGGGTGGCATGAGTGCATTTATCCCATCTACCAAAACTTTCACTTTACAATTATGGTTTGATCACTCCTGTTCTCTTGCTTGTAGGGAGAGAGATAGGGCATATCAAGCTGTGAAACTAGCTCCTCCTCCTATTGCCCACTCCTCTTTCATTACTTCTAGGAATCGTTGTAAGGCTATTCTTCATAGGACTAAGTGGAATTTTATTAAAAGAAAGACCGCTGTCCTGACTAACTCTTCTTCAAATAAATCCTTCTGGTCCTTAACCAAAAACATCTGTAATAACTTCTGCACTCCCTCTTTTCCTTGTCTCGTCTGACCTGATAACTCTAATCCAACTCTCCCCCTGATAAAGCCAATCTCTTTGCACTTAATTCTCCTCTAACTCCACCTTAGACGATTCCAACTCTTCACTCCTGCTCCTCCTACTGAACCTATGCACTTTCCTATGATCTCCACTCGTAGGGTTGCTGGTGTGTTATCCAGGCTGGATGTGAGTAAGGTGCATGGACCAGACGGAATACCTCCTCATGTTCTGAAATTCTAGCCCATGTGCTTGCTCGCCTCTTTTGCCATTGCCTCAAAACCTAAACTTTTCCTTCTTCTTTGAAGCATGTCTTGGTTCAGCCCATCCTGAAGAAGGGTGACCATTCTAACCCCTCTATCATCCCAACTTAAACCCTCCCTAATATTTTCGAAACTCTCTTAAACTCTCATATTCTCCATCACCTTGAACGCTTTTCTCTTTTGTTGGATCACCAGTATGGCTTTCGCCAGGCGAAATCTACTGGTGATCTGCTCTCCTATTGCACCCATCTTTGGTCATCCTCTCTTAGGAATTGAGTAAACTTTCGTCGTGGCCCTCGACATCTCCAAAGCATTTGACAGGGTATGGCACAAGTCTTTGCTTTCTACATTTCCCTCTTATGGTTTCTCTCCCCCACTTTGTTCTCTAATTTCTAGCTTCCTTGAGAACCGATCCATGGTAGTTGTTGTCGAGGGATCGATCTATCGGTCTTTCTTTACCATTGGTGGTGTCCCACAGGGTTCTGTTCTTTCACCTACTCTCTTCCTTCTTTTTATCTATAATTTACTTTACACTACAACTAATTCAATCCATTCTTTCGCTGATGATTCTACTCTTCGCTCTTCTTCACAATTTTCCCTTCTCCCCAATTCTCAAACTAGAGCTGATATCATTTCATCTATCAATGTGGAGCTGTGCAGCATCTCCAAATAGGGAGGTAGAAACTTGGTTAAATAGTAATAATACTCAGTATTTACCAATTACACTTTCCAAATTAGATGATCTCCCACCAATTACATTTCAGGAAGCGATCATTCTGCCAAATTCTAAAATAGATATGCTTGGTCTTACCATTTCTTATATGTCATGGAAGCCACACATCCACAACATTGCTAAAGCTGCCTCCTGAAGGCTGGGCATACTGTACAGATGCCGTAGTTACTTCACTCCTTAACAGTTACTTCAATTTTTTAAGGGATTCATTCGTCCTAACTTGGAGTACTGCTTTCATGTTTGGGGTGGCTCCTCTTCTGTCCAACTGTTAGATAGGGTGGAATCAAAGGCATTTTGTCTTATTGACTCCATTCCTTTAGCCAACAATCTTTCTTCCCTTTCTCTTCGCCGCAATGTTGCTTCACTCTCTCTTTTACAGGTACTTTAACGGGCAATGTTTGGTGGATTTGGCATCCTGTGTACCGCCAGCAAGGCCGTGGGCTCGTAACACACGTCTTGCCTGCGGTGCCCACCATTTCTCTGTCGGTCACACTAGAATAACCCGTTATAGTTCATCCTTCTTTCCTCACACAGCCAAACTGTGGAATGCTCTGCCTTCTTCTTTGTTTCCATACTCATACAATCTGTCTCACTTTAAAAAGCTGGTTTTCCGGCATCTTTGTGGTGTAGATTAAAAGAACCTTTACTATTTTTAATTTTTTTTTACTCTTATTTTTTCCCCTCCTAGGCCCCATTGTGGGTCAATGACCTGTGCCCGGGTGGGCTATTTCCCATAAAAAAAAAAAAAAAAAAAAAAAAAGGACATCGTATACAGTGGTCCCTCGGTTAACGAGCACAATCCGTTCCAGCAGGTTGCTCGTTAACCGAAACCATTGTTTCAATGGGTTTTTGGGTAATTGGTTCCAGCTCACCGAAAATTGCCTAAATTCAACAAAAAAGGTAGAAAAGTACATTTACTTTGAGGTGTGTATGTAGAAGGCTCCTGGATGATGATGATGGGAATTAGAATGGGGGTGGAGGAGAAGGAAGAAGAGAAGGCATTGGGGTGGAAGAGAAGTCACCCCATGGCGCCATTTCACCCATAAAATTTTAGTTCTCTTGGTGTAATTCAAGATTATTTTCTTTAAATCAACACTGCACTGCATTATATATTGTCAATATGTAAAATATATTTCAAAATGACCAATAATTTGCTTGGAAACACAGAAAAAAGCGTTTAGTTGAAGAGAGTCTCAAGCAAGATGTTACCTCCACTGAAAACAGAGAGACTAACGCCTGTCTGGTGTGTTAACAGGCTGGATGGCACGCCAGAAACTAGTTTCTTTACCTTCAATTATGTTCAATAATTGTTAAAATGACTAAAAAAGTTAATATTAAACTTTTAAAATTATTGAATAGTATAAACTTCTTGATATTTACTAAAATAGTAAGGAATTTAAGCCCTAAAACCGATTACTGTATTGGCGGACTAATACTGCAGCTGGTGGACCGCCAAATGCAAGCGAAAACATGTTGAAGTCGGCTCGGAAAAAACTCGTTAATCGAGGGATTGCTCGATAACCGAAGTTAAGAATCTTATGGAAGGTAAAACTTTAACTGAAATCTCGTTAACCGAGGGACCACTGTACTCCATATCAAACATAGATTCTGGCAGGTATAGAAACCTCCTAGAGGATGCTGAAAACCCTATATTTGCTTATCCTTCCCTAATGATGATAATGAAATCAATGGCCCCTTTGGCACTTCATCCTTTCACCATGTAAATCATGTTTCCCAGTAAGATACCTCTAATGCTTATGTTTCACCTTACAACCTTATAAAGAGTGCAAAGGGGTGCTCAATAAACTAGTCCGTATGCTAATCTGAAATGTGGTCCTCCTGTACTGATAATGGTCCATTCAGTGGTGTACAAACAGTGGTAACTTACTGATGCTGGCGCCCACAGAGAAGCATGATCCGCTTGGACAGAACTGCCATGTGGTGCTACCACTGCCAACATCATGTTGGTAGCAGACCCAGGCAGAAGCTGCAAAGGAAATACCATACAGTGAAAATTAATGATACTGAAGAGAATAACCTCAAAAAGGCTGTAATACCTGTACTGTAGTAGGCAGCTATCAAACAGGGAGGTACTACCACCTGGGAAGATATTGGAAGCATAATGCAGTGGTGCACTGGCCCACCGGGAAATTTCCCGGAAAAAAGAAAAGAGATATGAGGTTTATGAGATATTAACTCAATCCGCCCTAATGCGACCTGAAACTACGCCATGTGTTCACAATCGTCTAGTGATTCAAATCTAACCGAACGAGATTCTGACGGAAATGACCTTCTCGGCGAGATTTCCGGTTTATTTTTACCGAAAACCGGATGTTTATATCTACTTTCGTTTACATTCTATCATAATTTGAACACAAGCTGTTTTCCAAAACATGAATTTCAAACAAGTAACACATTTCAATTTCTTCGATCGCTTATTGATAATTTCAATTTTGACGATGAAAACGAATCAGATGTAGATCTACAGCGCGTGGAAGTGTTTTTCAGTGATATTCGTGCTGTCTAGGTGACTTGTGCTTTGTAAATTACTGAATTTTGACTGCTTTAGTGATATGTGCACACATTAAAAAATGCAAATGTTCCAATTTTAATTATAGTACTTTGAAAACAATTTCGAATTATGCTTTATAAATTACTCGGATTGGTTGTTCTATGATTGAGATTTTCATTTTTATTATAAGATTATTAAAATTTTCTAGTATACTTGTATTATGCACACATTAACATAAATAAATACTGTACAACAATATTGAATAGATGTAACATTTTATTTGCTTAAAACCTTTACTTTTATTTGATTCCTTTGACTACATTTTGGGATTAAGTGGGCCCTTTTACAAGTCTTCCCGGTAGAAATTTTTGACCCAGTCCGCCACTGGCATAATGTGTTGTAGACCCTGCTGCTATATGGCATCAAAATTTTTTTTGCCCAAGTCCCGGGTTTCTGACCTGACTTTCTGCCTCATTTACACACAATTGCAGGGTCTCAATTGTTTCCCTTACTTTGACAACACAACATACAGTACAGTATACTGTTTCTCACTACAGATATTCATCTTTTTTATTTTTGGTATTTATTTATGATACTTTATTATTGTATTTTTGCCTCCAGGTTTTGATGTGGTCATTGACCTGTGCCCTGGTGGGCTAATTCCACTAAAAAAAAAAAAATAGATGAAAAGCAGAGTACAAAGACAGTAATTAAAAATTTGGTAAGCAAATACAATTTTATGTACATCACAGGTACAGTACGGGTTATTTTATATTAATACAATAAAAACTGTATTATACATTACAAACCAGGTCAAGAGTTATGCAGTAGATGAGTAAGAACTTATTAAAATACAGTAAAGCCTCAAATAAAGACGTTAATGTGTCCTCCAATATTGCAGTGTAAGGTGGATCATCTTATCGTGAATCATTAATTACCAATAAAATAATGCAATAATAATAAAATGCGTTCCCAAGTGTGACCTTTTCATATCTTTTGTGTGGCTTTTAACCCTCTTTTCCCCCCAAAACAATACAAATAATGAAAAGTGCAAACTATATTCTTTAAATAATGTTTATGAATGCACCTTATACAATATAAATGAATAATAATATGGTCCCGGGAGTCCGGGACTATAGTTCTACACGAGAACATGAAGAAAATAAGACCCTGGTTGTAACTGTAGTAAAATTAATGTAAAAAAATTAATATATATGTTTTAAGTAACGTTATTTAATATTAATAAATGGAACAATAGGAGTAGCTAACCACTAATGCCAAAGGAAAAAAAAAGAGATGGACTGGGAAAGCCAACATATATATACGTGCACATTTAAGGATACCACGTCATTTACCTTTTTAGGAATACTGTATGTACAAAAGATTCATTATTGTTTATTACTGAATATGTTTTTGATGAATTAATGTTTATATATGTGAAATGAACAATGCAATTCATTAATCATATGTAGAATATTAAAACACACAAGAGAGACAAGATGTCATTGTTTTTGTGAGTGACGATGGTTCTACATAAGAAACTGAAGAAAATAAGACCCTGATTGTAGCTGTAGTGAACTTAATTTAAAAATATTGAATACCTGTATGTATGTTTTAAGTAATGTTATTTAATGTTAATAAATGGAACACTAGGAGTAGCTAACCGCTAATGGTAAAGAAATAAGGCGAGACGATTGGGAACGCCAACGTATGAACAGCAAGTGCGTACATGTGAAAACATATCGTCAGTTCTCTACATATGAATATGAAAGCAACACTTATTTACTGTTCATATATGTTTTAAATATTATTTACAAATGTAAAACTAAAATTCTATTCACCAATGGTAGTAAAGTCTAAATCATAAGGACAGCCAATGAATATTGTGTGAGTTTTTACTCAGATGACGAAGTCATCATCAGGTTCAACTCTGGCTGAAGCTATAGCTTTCCATAAAGCTGTTGCTGAAACTGAAGTTGATGGTTTAGGCCTTCGAATAATAAAGCTGTCGAAGAACCTTGCACAGCTGCTTTCTTTTCTCATTATACATCTTTATGTAGAGGTCATTTGCGTTTATTTAAATTTTAATGCTTTGTTCTGTTAATGGATCCACTTCAGAAAATATGTTCATTGCTTGCTCCATATAATATCCACAGACCTCTCACCTTTTTCATATCGTTTTAACTTATCTAGTTTCTCGGCTCAGCTTATACACTTTCTATTAGCTTTAGAACCAACACTACCATCACTTGCTCTCTTGCTCATGTTGAATAGGGATGCAAAAATGATGTAAGAAACCTGTGAAAGTTTTTCTCCAGTTCCTGTTCCAGATGCGTGGAAACAAAAGGCTCGCCAAGCTCCGACTGTTTACCACTCATTAGCAAGGCAGCTTCTTTGCGCAAGGCGCTCTTAATTTTTTTTTAATAATGCATATCGAGATTTAGTTATTATTTATATGAAAATGTAATATTATTTCATTTTCATTATATTTTGATCGCAAATACGAATGAAATAAGGACGCAAATTGAATTGTGTCCTAAATTAACTAGGGTTTTAAATATGAAAAGAAGTTGGTCGAACCGTTGTTATCAGAGGCTTTACTGTATACTGTACTTTGGCTGTTTGGTTGAAAAATAATAATTAATATAATGGAACTAATCTCTTACTCTCCTTTTTAATTTTAATTACCATAGTACAGGGTTACCTATCCTTTATCCGTAATCCTTGGGGCCAGAGGCATTTCAGATTTCGTTATTTTTCGGTTTTCAGAATGGTTAGTTAGTTTTTTTTTTTTTAGCCCACCCAGGCATAGATCACTAACCCACATCGGGGCCTGGGGGGCGAAAATATAATAAAAATAAAAATAAAAATAATACAGTAGTAATAATAATTCATAGGTCTAGGTCATGTTTCTCACTTTTGATCTTTTTTTCATTCATGTACGTATATCTTTATTATTATTATTATTATTATTATTATTATTATTATTATTATTACAGTATTATTATTATTATTAATTTTATCATATTTTATTATTATTATTATCTTATTTTGGTGTATTTTTATTACTAATTTTTAATATGAATAATTATTATTACTATTACATTTTCGCCCCCCAGGCCCCGATGTGGGTCAGTTATCTATGCCCGGGTGGGCTAATCCCTGTTTAAAAAAAATAATAATAAATAAATATGCCCCCCCCCAAAAAAACTTTCGGTTTTCAGAGCTTTTCGGAATTTTGGATAAAGGGTTGTCAACCTGTACTAAATGAACATGACATACTACCATATGATTGCTGCCAATAGTCTGATATTATGAGCATGATAAGTAAATATATACAGTACTGTATAAAAAAAATGAGGCATAACTGACCGCCCAAGAGGCTAACGAGTCAATAAATAAATATCATGTGGGGGAGAAAATAATTACAATATTGTTTAAGCACTTTAATGTATTTAACACATCTTCAAAAGCAAATTACACAAAGATACAGAGTCAGAAAGTGCTAAATGTTGTCTTAGTCACATCCTGGAGGCAACTGTATAGCAATTTACTTACAATACAGTATTGTGTACAACTGGAAATAAAAATTATACTAAACCTAAAACAGGAGCAGCACTCACCTCCATTAAGGACTCCCAGCAGCAGGATAACCATTGTGATGGTCTTCATGTTGTTCCTGCAAAAAGAGAGAGAGAGAAGGCATCATCATGTTATGTATAACTTGTACTCTGAAGAATAACTCAAGTACGGTAAGCGGAATTTATTCACTCGCTCCTCACACGTGCATCCTCATTTACTCTCACTTATTCTTGTACCACACATTCATTCAATCACACACTCACTCATACCCACACACTCACTCATACCCCCACACTCAATCATATCCACACATTCATTCACTCACTCATACCCACACATTCATTCACTCACTCACTCATACCCACACATTCATCTACTGTACTTTCCCTGTCATCTCTCCTCAATATTCATACCAGAAGTACAAATGCCAGTGATCAATTGTGATAATAGTTTGATATTAACCTATATTTTATTTATAAATTTGGTGAGGTGCACCCAGCGTATAGGAGTCCCTGACTTCCTCCACTTGCTGTAGCTTTCTGAAGATGGGTTCTGTGTAGCCCGGAACATTAGAGAAATGAAATTAGATCAAACCTGTGTTTCCCTTCAGCCCACAAGTAAATCACTGTAGGTGCACGTGATCTAGGTATATGCTGATAAAGTTCAGGGGTGAGTACAGACTAGCTAAATATATATATATATATATATATATATATATATATATATATATATATATATATATATATATATATATATATATATATATATATATATATATATATATATATATATATATATATATATATATATATATATATATATATATATATATATATATATACACACACACACACACACACACACACACAATGGTCCCTCGATTAATGAACACAATTGGTTCCACAGAGTCGTTCGTTAACTGAATTTATTAAGTCTATGAGATATTGGATAATTGGTTCCAACTCACAGAAAAAGTATACATACAAAGTACTGTATTTGGTTTAAATTTAATGTTTTGTTAATTCTATTACCAGTCGTTAACGAACGAATCTGTGGAACCAATTGTGTTCGTTAATCGAGGGACCATTGTATACTTATATATATTGTATAGCATACTGTATAATAAATAAAAAACAATAGAATACTATATTTTAACTTACTTTGAGGTGTGTATGTCTTATTACCTGCAGCTTTGTTACATATCAAACAGCTGACATGCCATATTCTTTACAGCGTGCATTGTTCTAATGCCTTCATCGCATTTCATATTAATTTCTGCACTGTATATTATCAATATGTGACCTAAATTTCAGAATGACCAATAATTTTAATGTAAAAATATTCAAGAGACCAACAAACTGGATGTTCACTCCACTGTAAACAAAGTTAAACTGTGAAGCGTTGGTGGGCAGCGATGCTGCAAAGCCACACTGACCATGGAATGAGCGTTTAGGGAACAAACATGGAGAATGATACACAGGAAGTGGGGAACACATAGAGTGGGGGACGTTTTCTTTCTTTCTTTTTAATAACACCCGTAGGAGACGGTAGGACCACTTTATAATTTTAAGGCCTCCTACTGTTCAAGCACACGCTCAACTGCTGCGTGCAACGACAGCCATCGAGTGGCACACGCATGTAAGATTTTGTGTGGCTTAAGGTCCAGAAAAGTTTGGGCAAATTTAAGTTTATATTTCCTTTTGGCACTATAGGAGAAGTGTGTATAAATATGCATTTATTATAATATATAACATTTTATTCTTCGATGACGTGGCACATGTATGAATATGTAACACAATGTAAGGTGTTACGAACCCCTCCACCCAGCACTACGAACCACGCCATCTATTGTCCTGATCTACCTACCCAGCACCACGAGCAACGCCATCTAGGGACGAGACACGAGTATGACTCGTCTTAGTTAACACTCCGGGGTTTCCCTTCTCCATATCCTGGTTGTTGCGTCACTTCCTCCAAGTCTTCTTTGTCAGCTCCAATTCGAGGAGAGAGCACTTGGCTCTGGGAAGTGACCACAGGATCATCTATCCTCTAAACCTACGTGCAGTGACTACCTACCGTCTTCTACAATACTCAGCCTTACTCGTCAGCCATCTCAGCTCCTCACTTAAGTACTTGTATTTTGTATTAACTCCCCCACGTCCACTTGCTTCAAGATTGTTTATGTTGTATTAATATGTATATACTGTTAATGTTTAGGTTAAGTTTGGTTAAGGGTAATTTATAAGCTGAATATTTTGTTTAGGGATTTATGGTACTTTATTATATACAACGAAAACTCGCATCCTTTGTCTACCCTTTTATAGTCCGATTGTCTTTGTTTTTTTTTTATTGTTACCTGTTGGGATCTGGGTAGACGTATAACTATATTCTAAATCCCCAACTCGTAACAAAGGTATTAAATAAAACAGCCATATTAATATATTACAATAATATCTATTAAAATTTCAATGTAGAATAAAGCTTATCTTGATTTGTAGAATTTATTAACAATGGGCGTAGAATGTGTCTAGAACGTGGCCTGATGGTGACTAACTGGCAAATAAATAGCCACGTTACTTGCCAAAGGTCACTAGAAGGCAACAATTCGGCAACGCTGTTGGTGGGTGATTCAATCAGCTGATTGGCACACAAAAACTGTTCCCTATACTGTATATATATTATCAATATGTTAGCTAAATTAGAATGACCAATAATTTTAATATAAAAAATGCTAAAATATTCAAGAGACCAACTTTCTTGATACTGTATTTACTCCACTGGAAAAGAATGTAAACATAGAACCAATTACTGTATTGGCAGACTAGTCGATCAGCTGATGCGCACAACAAAGTGCATTTCTCGTCTGGCTTTCGTTAATCGAAGTTTTGTTCATTAATGGAATTGAAAATCCTTATGGGAGCAAATTCTTTAACCAATTTTTTTTAATTGGACCGTTTGCTAATCGATATATATATATACAGTCGACCCTCGTTAATTCAGCCCCCTTTAATCCGGATTTCGGATAATTCGGACAAAATCTGAACGAACTTTTTTTTATTTTTTATTTATTTTTTTTTAAGATTTGTAGGAATATTACCTACGCGGACCTTAAGCTAAAATGCTGGTCCACCCACTGCTGGGATAAAACACCAGCATCTTTTTGGTTAAATGTAACATCTCCCCCACTAGTGTGGGGGGATGCAACTTTTAGCTTCAGACATGAAAAATATTTACCATTTACTGCCAGTAAACAATGGAAACGTAATATATGTACCAATTAGTAATGAAAAGTTGTGCAGTTCCTTCAGCAAATGAAGCTCATCAACTTACAATAGGCTAAATTACCTTACAACGTGTTTTCAGTAGTCTATGTTGAAGTTCTTAGCACAGGCTAACTTATCATATCATGTACGGTATCACAGTTCTCATTGATCTACAAAAAATACCGGTAATAAAAACCTTTTTGATATTTCACACTTAATATAATACCCGGTAATCTACTTCAACCTCCTATTGTTTACAACGACGCATGACGCACCACCAGCTGTTGAGTATCAGCTAGACGGCACACGTGTTTTTCGAATCGTTTTCAGTTAAAAAACTGTTACATCACATGAATATTTTACCTTAACTGTGCCTGAATGAATATATTCTCGGAAATAAATAGTAGTTTTGCTGAAACGTGATGTATTTTAATTGTAAAATAGGATAAAATACATGACGAAAACAAAAGATTTTACCTAACCTTCCGATGTTCAAGAGAAGTTACTCGTTTTTTTTTTACTAGTTTTTGGTTAAAATACTGTTATATTACAATGGTATTCTATTCATACTGTGCTTGATATAATACATTCACGGAAATGTAATATTTTTGCTGAAATGACGTACGTATTACAGTGGAAAGTGGGATAAAATCGTGACGAAAACAATGACTTTGAAATATAATGCAATATTAACCCCTAAATCGGTTAATTCGGACAACCGGCTAAAACGGACACCCTTCCCCCCCCTATTAGTCCGAATTAACGAGGGTCGACTGTATACAGTGGGGTATGCTATAACGAACAGATCCTACTACGAATATTCCTATAACGAACGGTTTTACCTATAAAATTGAGAATGCTATAACGAACGCAACTCCTACAACGAACGCGGATGAATACCGGACTATTTCGTATGGCGCATGAATATTGTTGTACCGCGACCCACAACAAGAGCGTCAGGCGCCATCTTTGTCTCATTGTGTAGCCAGTGCACCACTGTTATTGTTGAAATTTCGTCTTTTGATGTGGAAATAGAGTTACTTGTATAAATATTTTGTTATACAAGTGTACAATTGTGACAATGAATCGTTCAAAGCGAGTGAGAAAGCTCATAACTCTTGAAACTAAGAAAGAAATCATAAAGAAATGTGAGGATGGAACAAGCATTGCAAAACTTAGTGATGAGTATGGGATGGCTAAATCGACTATATGTACGATTTTAAAGAATAAAGAGGAGTTGAAAACAGTGCAAGTGGCTAAGGGAATCTCTAGACTTAGCAAAGCAAGGTGTAATGTGATTGAGGAGATGGAAAATTTACTCTTAGTGTGGATAAAGGAGAAAGAAATGGCAGGTGATAGCATTAGTGAAGCTATAATTTGTGAGAAGGCCAGACAATTGTTTGAGGACCTTAAAGCCAAGACTCCCAGTGCAAGTGATAGTGCTGTGCCAGTGTTTAGGGGTACCAAGGGGTGGTTTACTGGTTTCAGAAGAAGAAATAAATTACACAGTGTTGTGAGACATGGTGATGCAGATGAGGAAGCAGCTAAGGAACACCATGACATTTTTTTTAATATTATTAAAGAGGGAGGCTTTGTTTCTCAGCAGGTATTCAACTGTGATGAAACTGGACTATTTTGGAAAAAAATGCCTCGCCGTACATACATTACCAAGGAGGAAACTTCCGTCCCTGGCCATAAGCCAATGAAAGACAGGCTTACCCTCCTTCTTTGTGCTAATGCTTCTGGTGACTGCAAAATAAAGCCACTCCTTGTGTACCATGCAGAAAACCCCAGAGCTTTAAAAAACACTAAGAAGACCCGCCTTCGTGTTATG